CAATCCCCACCTTCACATTTAAGCCTTCATGTTATTCTTTCTTCTGTTACACCTCTCTCTAGAGTATTCGTACATTTCCCTCTGACACTTGTTTCCCAATCCCACACATACACTCTCACTAAAATTTTGTTTTTTTATACCCGGAGCTATATTGTCCGATTCTTTTGGAATTTTTGTGGCGGATTAATTTGTTCGTGATTATGATTCCAATGTAATAATTATAACCATGGAATATTAGTGTTTGAGCATGTTTTAATTATATTTATATATATATATATATATATATATATATATATATATATATATATATATATATATATCATGAGCATGTTTTAATTATATATATATATATATATATATATATATATATATATATATATATATATATATGTATATATATATATATAAGTGAAATTGTATTTATTCCGATGAAGTCTTTTCACACGAAAATATATTCCACTTCTATACAATTTCCCCCTCATCATCTTGATTAATAAAGATATATTTCTTTATCTCATTCATATATCAATACATATGTATGTGTTTGCGTGTGAGTGTATGTGTGTGTGTGCGTCTCTAAAGAAGTGATGGATTTTATTTATTAATCCGATAGATTTTAACAGTTAACCGTTATTTTTGGTGGATATCCATATTTTAATAGATAATATTCAGTTTATTAAAACGTATATTCATTTACTTTCTTCTACCGACACGATTTTCTTCTACCGACATGATTTGAATCTGCATCTCACTTGGCAGGAGAAAAATAATTCTAAAAATAAAATAGACTTGATTCGACGCTTTTTTTATTTCTTAAGGATTATTACTTAGATACCCATGAATATACTGCTTAAATTAATAGCCTTTTATTCCCGTTGAGGCGTCTAAATATCTCTCAATAATACGAAATTTAATCAGATTCCTGCGAATATATTGAATAATTAACTTTGAAATCGCTGGGTTCTTTATATTGGAATAAATACAATTGTTCATGCTTGATATATCATAAGGAAATTTTTAAATGTTCAATGTGGTACCAATACACAAAAATGTGTCTAAAATAACAGTAAGAATCTTGAACTGAAGACAAGAAAATGTATCTAACGTGATGAAATTTGTAAATCGAGGCAATTACACATGCGTATAAATATCTAGCGACTTACTCATATCCGATTTAGACACCATATTTAAGGTTTCATTGAAAATATTCATCCTTAATTCTGAAAATGAAAATGTTCACCCTCTTCAATTTCTTGAATGCATGTCCATAGGTTAACAGAAGTGAGCGAAGGAATTGGTTATCGAAGAAAATTACAAAAGAGCAAGAAATCTTAATAAGAACTACAGAATGAGCTAATCAAAAATGCACAATGCTCCCAAACAAAAAAAAATTACTAAACAAAAACTTGTTTATGTGACCAAGGGAATAACCAAAACATATTAAATATTCTTGTAATTGTTTTCAAAAACCGAAAAATGTACTATTGGAGCAAGGAAATATTATAATATGGTCAAAGACGAAAGATTTCTTTGACGAAAAGAACTAGTACAAGCAGTTGAAATTGCTCTCTCTCTCTCTTTCTATATATATATATATATATATATATATATATATATATATATATATATATATATATATATATTAGAACATCAGTTCATGAATTTAATTCTTTCCTGAAGGCTTTTCGTAGCACAAAAAGTCCGTAAACCGAAACAGTTTTTTTCCAATAGGAATCAATGTAGAGAAAAAAGTCACAGTGCAGTAAAATGTATTCAACAGAGTCAACGAACAGTATAGGATTGGTGTATAGTGAATAAATACAAATAACCAAAAAATAATATTCTTAAAAGAGTGCTCAATAAAGAGTAGAGAAAATATAATTCATTCGAAAATTATTACACAAATATGTTAGAAAAATATTACAAAATTAGATATCCTGTTCTAAGAATTCTGCTATCTTATCAAGTGATGGTGTTGAATGGCATCACATTCAACACAATCACTTGTTGAGACACCAAAAATGTTAAAACAAAATATCCATGCTTGTTAGTGATTTTATAACATATTTATGTTTTAATTATATATATTATTTTTCGAACTGAGAATGTGTCAAACTTAAAGTTCCGTGACTATAATTTATTTCTCCAGAAAAGTTATTTATCCTGGTTTATCAGTTCAAATCTTAAGTTACAGAGGAACCTTAATGCTGGTTCTTAATTATTTAATTAATATGTGCTCTGGTGTTACATTGCGCTCTCTGGATTCCTCCTCTTTGTAATTTTTCAAAACAGATAACCAAACTCTTCATTACCTTATTATATATATATATATATATATATATATATATATATATATATATATATATATATATATGTATGTATGTATGTATATATTTATGTATATAGTACCATCCCAAATTATATGAAATGCAAGCCCAATTCATTCAATCTATTATGCTGTTAGCTGAAGATATTTATGTTTAAAGTGAACTGATCAATATGAAACATGTGTACTTAATTACAGATTTTAATTCCTGCTACTTACATTTTGATGTGTTAAACAAGTTAGGACTTACCACCATTTGTTGGAACCCACCCACTTTTCAAGTGATCACATATATTGGAACAGTTTACTGACAGCGGATTCTTGATGACTCTATAGATTGATTAATTTATCATTTAAAATTCCCGCCTGAATTTTAGCCTTAGGTTTCGTCTGTAAAGACGGTTTATCTTGTTAAAAACGATGGACCAACATGAAGAAAAGAGAGCAGTCTATGGGAGAAAGTCATTTTGCAGCTGGGAATAGAAGGAAAATTGATCAGATTCATTGGACAAACATTGAGCATATCCAACACAACTTAGGAATGTCCTGAAAATGAAAGAAACTACTGGTTTACTTAGCGATAGACACTGAAAATTTCGACTAAGGAAAACAATAGCAAATGATGACAGAAACGTTGTGATAGCTGTGAGGAAAAAATTCAAAATAACAGTGACATCACCAACAGATATATGAGTGAAGGTTTCACAATCCAACCTTCAATGAAGGCTTTGAGAAGAGAAATATAGAGGCAATACCACTAGATGCAAACACCGTATCAGCAATAAGAATCGAAAGATCAGATTAGAATTTGCAACGAAGTACAGAGGTGAGCGAGAAATGTTCCGACATAAAGTTTTACGGACTTATGAGACCAACATTAATCTCTACCAAAATGAGTGAAAGTCAAAGTTTGGAAAAAGGAAGGATTTATTTATGATACAAAGCCTAAAATCTCATTTGTGAAGCATTGTGAATTTTTGTTTATTATTATTTGGAGGAATTACTAATGTATTTTGAATTAATATCTGTCTAAAATGTGATTGTTTACATGAGTCTTCCTTTAAATATAATGAGATTGATCTATGTTCATTGCATTGAATTATTCCATAGTAGTGGAAAATACATTAGTCCGTCTTCAAAATAATATGAAAAATCATAAAATTCTGGTAACCCTTTACATCAGAAAATTGCGGCCAAAATTAAATAAAGCAACTATGTAGCAGCAAAGTGTTATATATAAATACTAAATTAGACTATTAGAATTAAAAATATTTCTTTTTTTTAAATTATGAAAGGTAATTCCATAGAATAACAAAAAAACAATTGTTTTTGAAACGCTGTAAACGAACAGTGAAAAAATATTTTGAATTTAGGGGCTACTGTATACAAATCCACAGGTATTTTAACCACCTGAAGATGCCCTTAGAGTAGTCTGGAAGTACTTGGCAAAATAAAAATTATTTGAAAGAACGTTTTGTTATTTTCTTTGCTAAATTTCTACAGCCACCATGAAATTAATTCGCTGACATGAAAGTATTATAACTAAATTAAATAGACATAATACGCCTAAATTATATAACCAAACTTGCTTGAATGAAAATATGCAGTAATATATATATATATATATATATATATATATATATATATATATATGTGTGTGTGTGTGTGTGTGTGTGTGTACGCACACATGAGAGCTTACGTGTGGGACAGAGGGAGGAAAGATTGAGCATGAGGACGAATGGAGACATGGTTTTGGTGTTCTCTAACGACTTAAGTCTACTCCATAGACTGAACTATAGATAGCATGGAGTCTAAGTGATGTACCACCCCTAGAAGAAAAGCCTAACGTCATTAGTTTGGTGTCCCTAATTTTCATATGACAGAAATTTGAAATTAATATAGATGGTTCTGCTGAATCTTCATAACTCTATTCAAATCTTTCTTTTAAGATTTCAGTAGATCGTTCTCTTTTTAGCTGTTCTAGAACAATAAACACATTTTAAAATCCCTATAGCTTTCACTAGCGATTCTGTTACTTGTTCTCTATGTGGATTGTTGTATTCTAATCAATATGGAAAAAAATTATCGAAGGCACAATCACAAGAAGGACAACCAAACACGGAAGATGTTTAACGCTCAAAAACTCTAAAAAATGGTCGCGGGGATAGGTCCCTCCTTATTTAAATAGAGATGATGCTTTATTACGTTTTTATGTCTCATGCTATGTACTTTTTCGCACTACATGTAACATCTAGGGATTTTGGATTAATCAAATATTGCCTGATCGATATGCATTATTCGACTGAAACAATATTAACATTACGCTTGTTTATCAATATTGTCTTTGATTATAATATTATTTCTTCCTCTATTTGTGAAACTAATTAAAAAAATGTTCATGCAATATATGCCAATAGCATTTGCATTGTGATATTGCCGGTTTGGTATCGATTTAAGGATTGTCATTGTTTCGTTTGTTTCCGAATATTTAGTTGCTATTCAGAAGTTTGCATTATTTGCTAAATCGGTCGATTCAATAGAGCCCAAGTATTTTACTTATGTTTGAAAGCATTTGTTTTCTCATAGAAATGAATTCAAAATAATTTCAAGAATGATCTAACTTTATTGATGCTGAAAATATGCAATGACAATAGTCAGCAAATGCTTTTCTTATTTATCCACTGATCTCACAACGTCTATCTTTCTGTCTGATAGATAGATAGATAGATAGATAGATAGATAGATAGATAGATATTCTAGAAAAACGCATTACGATGGAATTTTATGAGAATTTCAGTACGAACAATAAATCCTTTCTAAAAAGAATTTGTTGTTTGATCAATTATTGGTAGGTAAGGAGGACTGGTCGTGAGATTCTTTAGAAAAACTCGTATCGATACAGAATGAGAAAGGGGAAGAGAGAAAAAAAGGAGAGAGAGAAATGGGGGAGCTGAGATGACATAACTTGAATGCTCTCTCTCTCTCTCTCTCTCTCTCTCTCTCTCTCACCACGCGAACACACGAACACACAAACACACACACACACACACACACACACACACATATATACATATATATATATGTGTGTGTATGCGTGTGTGTGTGTGTGTGTGGTGCGCGCGCGTGTTTGTATGTTTATAATAGTGGACATTGGGATCAATACCCAGAGGCGACAGAATGTTTCATAGTTAAACATGAACATAAGGCCATGTGAGTTGTTGTCTGGATTGAGTATTTATATACGTTGCCCAGCGATACATTTAAGGTAGGCCTATCGTATTATACTAACAGATATTGAATGGGAAGTGGCGGTTATGTTCCATATTATTCTAGGGGATATTGAATGGACATAATTATGGATCCGGATTCTGATTTGTAGCTATTTTATAGTGTTCTTTGGTCACTATATTATTGATTGTTTTTTTATTTGATGTTGATTGTTATTATTACGTTTAATTGCGTTTATGCGTGCATTCTTAATGCGTATTTTTAACTTCATTAATATTTACTTAATTTAATTATTTGTTTATCAATTAAGTATATGGAAAATTAAAACCAAAAACCAAATCAACCAAAAAATTATCAAGAAAAGTAAAGGAAACAGCCTGTAAACTTTCTCTGGAGGAGAAAATAGTTTTAATTATTTTCCACAACCAACAGAAATGATTAAATAAACGATTCCAACTCATCTCAAAATGCAGACACACAAAAAAAATTATATTACATTACTTAAAAATCGAAAACTAAAAACAAATAAAAAATAAAAATGAATAAAAAAATAAATAAAAAATAAATAAATAAAAATATATAAATATAGAAACTTAAACAATAAATGTAAAGAAATTGAGTAAACAATAAATATGTTAGAAGATATTTTTAAATGTTAAAATGAAGTGAATATAGATTCATTCGTTCCATTCTTTGACATTTTATTTCCCTAAATGAACACCGCAACAGATGCTTTAAAAGTATTTTTACCATTTATATTGATGGTGCTGTAGCTAAAAATATTCTTCGTAAGTGAATCGCGAGATTCAGAAGTACAAGCTTAATCTGGAATCGGATAACATGTCAGTAGGTAGATGATGACAATCAAAAATCTGATTTAAATATAATCCGGGTCACACGTCAGGATAAATCAGTGTGATAGCCTCATATCTCGTATGACTTTTTATGGCATTTAAAGAAGCTTCGATCCGTTAACCCCTGCGATGTCTGGTCATCTTGAAGGGATTAGGACTGTATCGACCAGTTTGGTTGATTATGTTTAGCGGCATATCAATCTCTATAGGTTATTTAATATTTCGAACATAACGTTATAGCTTCAACTACAGATAAAACGTGTTGCTGTTCATTTTGCTATAAAATTTATTATTGGTAATTCATCTGATCAATTTTCCTTCTATTCCCAGCTGCAAAATGACTTTCTCCCATAGACTGCTCTCTTTTCATCATGTTGGTCCATCGGTTTTAACAAGATAAACCGTCTTTACAGACGAAACCTAAGGCTAAAACTAAGACTAGTCAGGCGGGAATTTTAAATGATAAATTAATCAATCTATAGAGTCACCAAGAATCCGCTGTCAGTAAACTGTTCCAATATATGTGATCACTTGAAAAGTGGGTGGGTTCCAACAAATGGTGGTAAGTCCTAACTTGTTTAACACATCAAAATGTAAGTAGCACGAATTAAAAGCTGTAATTAAGTACACATGTTTCATATTGATCAGTTCACTTTAAACATAAATATCTTCAGCTAACAGCATAATAGAATGAATGAATTGGGCTTGCATTTCATATAATTTGGGAGGGTACTATATACGTAAATATATACATGCATACATATATATATATATATATATATATATATATATATATATATATATATATAAGGTAATGAAGAGATTGGTTATCTGTTTTGAAAATTACAAAGAGGAGGAATCCAGAAAGCGCAATGTAACACCAGAGCACATATGAATTAAATAATTAAGAGCCAGCATTAAGGTTCCTTTGTAACTTAAGATGTGAACTGATAAACCAGGATAAATAACTTTTCTGGAGAAATAATTTATAGTTACGGAACCTTAAGTTTGACACATTCTCAGTTATTTTCTGTATATATATATATATATATATATATATATATATATATATATAATCGACTCTCCTGTCGCGTTCGACGTATGAGGGGTCAGGCCGATAAGTCCCCAGGAAACCGACATCCCGACACCGGCACATGAGATTTGTTTATAGTGGTGAAGGCCTTGTGCAGGACCAACCACACTTTTTGGAGGGACGAATACAGAAACCTGGTGCGCCGAATGCATGCCACAAGGTTCCCAAACGACCCTCCGCAGGTTTTGAATTCAGAGTTGTCCTTCTCCTAGACCAGTTGCCATCCAGGCTATAGAACCCAGTCTGTCCTGCTATTTTACCCATAGCTGGAGGGAGATGAAGAGGATACATACCTTTCCCAAGGGTATTAGCACGTAAGTGAATGCAGTGGATTCGACTGGAATTCGATATATATATATAAACTTGCTTGATTTTGAAGGTGTCCATTCCGTTTTCAGTCCTCATTGAGACTTTTTTCTCGAAAGTGTAAGCTGGTAGACGAAATAAATTCTGTTAAACAAATTCTGGTCATCTTGAAGGGATTAGGACTGTATCGACTGGTTTGGTTGATTATGTTTAGCGGCATACCAATCTCTATAGGTTATTTAATATTTCGAACATAATGTTATAGCTTCAACTACAGATAAAACGTATTGTTGTTCATTTTGCTATAAAATTTATTATTGGTAATTCTGCTAGAAATATGTATCGTTTGTCATTGTTTTATATAAGATTTATTGCTGGTATTTTTACTATAACAATGTATTTTTATATTTTCACAGTGTTTGTGGATTCACTATGTTCCTATAGCTGAGACGTCACCACTCCAACGGGTGCTACCACCCCCGTAGCAGCCGGAGAAGTATCATCCGGGGAATCTTTATTTCCAAAAGGATATCCAATCGTAATGTTTTGACGCATCCATTACACAGTCTTGGCATCCCGATGTCAAATATATTCGGAAATCTTTTTTTTTTAAAGAGATAATGCTTTTATCGCAGACTCGCAAATTGATCCGGTGACTGGACGCATACATCCCCGAGGAATGTAAGCATGCGGTTGAAAAATAATAGGTAAAGTGTCTGAGTCGCAATGGCGTATACGTGGAAAAAACAACATGTCAGTGCTGTTAAGAAAATCTATTTTACTTATTTATAAGTTTACCATTCGACCTTGCTTTGAATATTGCTGCCTCATCTGGTCTGGTACTCCTGCTATATATTTAGTGCTTCTAGATAAAATGTAAAGAAGAATCAACAATGTTATCGCTATTGATCTGGCATCTCGCCTTAGGTCCCTTTCACACCGCCGTGATATCGCCTCTCTATATATTTTCGATATTTTATGATCGTTCTGATACGGTGCCTAGATTTTAAGAATTTAAACACTATACAGGATCTTGGCTAGGTCTCATTATTTTGCAGTTGAAATGGCACTATGTAACCCTAACTTCTATGCTAACATTGTCTTCTATCCCACTTCTAGCTTGTGGATTTCTCTTCCTGCTGCTTGTTTCCCAGTCAACTTTGGTCTTCAAAAATGTGTATGCAATGTCAATCGTTAGCTTCTGTCTTTTCTCATTCTTTTTCTTTTATTGTCTGTCATTGATAGTCGTTTTTCGTATATTCTCTAACGCTCAGAAACGCTTGCATCCTAGATGGTTTCCTTCGTTGCTTGGAGAGAAATGATTAAGATAAATAAAAAAAAAATACTTAATATTTCATTTTTATCGTAATGGATATATTTGATTAAGAAATATTTATAGATCAGTTTTCAAAAAAACATTACACATAAACGTGTCTTGTATAGGGAGATTCTTTTCGCTTTGGCGTCTAGGCGAGCCAGCCGTACCGACTACATGTTACGGTTTTTTGTGTATATATGTAACTAGGGAGTTTTTCAAAATGACTTAATTCCCTTTATAGTCTACCAATAGAAGGTTGACCAATCAGAAGCCGCAGAACATTGTATTCGTCGTGTACAAAGGCGGCCATCTTTGTTATCCTACCGGAATGACCAGTGCCAACTTGTCAGGCGAAGATACCAGAGAACTATGCTCTGCTACGATATTCACTGCGAACCTGAACTACGCTTTCCTACTGTCTCCGAAATATTCACTGCCAACCTCTGGATCCTATACTCGAAGACGATCGTCATGAATTTGTAACACTACAATCATCCAAAGATCTGAAACCATTTTTCGCTGATTAGTTTAGGGGGCCCTCTGCTGCGTCTGCCCGACGACTTTGAACTGACTGAACGTAAATGAGATAGACCGTCAATTTTATCCTACGAGCAGCAAATTTAAAGTGATGCATTTTGATTTTTTTATCTATCCTTGCAGGACATGGGCAATCATGTCTCTCCACAACTTTCTTGCAAATCATAACTGTTTTTCTCCATTTGCCAAACCTCCTGTCTTCACTTCAGGCATCCACCCACAGAAACTCTTCCAGTTGATAACTGTTTCTTTTGACCTTGTCTCTCTTCACCTCAATATGACGGGAAAGGGAATTGAACCCTCCGCCTTTCTTCGTTATGTATCCTAAGAAAATTCAATTCTTTATTGTTGATTCTGACTATAAGCGTTCTTTGTGTTACCATTTTCTTTAAGACTTATTTGTTGCGTACACTATGCAGGGAAGTTTTAGTATTCTTCTGTATTACCATGTTTCAGCAACCTCTATTTTTCCTTTCGTCAGTGGGGTGTTTTTCTATCATCCACTACCAGATGGATATCACATAAAAAAATTAGCATTATTGTCTTTGCACTTACCATTTTTTTTCTATTTCTCAGACGGGTATTTACCTTTTGGAATGCATTTCTGCTATTCC